CTTTTAATTATGCAGCATTTTCTTATTAAAGGATGTAAAGACCATCTCAGTGGTATAGTGATGGGACTTAGAGCCATGCAGGACCAAACCTGAGTGTGCCAGCGCGTGTGCATGAGGCCTACCTTTGTTCAGGTGCGAGTTGGCTTTGGTCTTGTCACTGAAGCCCTGACTGCGTCTGTTCCCAGCAGCACTGACCGAGCCTCGTGGAGGGATGTCACCGCCGGCAGTGGACACCCTCGTCGTGGGGCCAGGAAGTCTGATGGACGGAGGGACGGGAAAGAAAGGAACGATGAAAGAAGGGGGTAATAGAAAGACCAAAACGGTTAGCTGGTTTGTTACAGTGAGTTTATGTGGGAAGTCTTTTCACACGGAGACACATCAGGTCACTGCAAACTTCTACTGGGACACATGGAGCCTACAGCTTCTAAGCTAAAACAGCAGGTTATCGCTTAACCCCCTGAACTCCAGGTAGTCTCTGGGTGTCTTTGGCTCCCGTCACATCTTTACTCACTGTGACCAACTCTATGGAAACAGCAGAACCATGGCTAGAAGTAGACAGAACTTAACAGGTAATATATAATCGTAATACTAATATTTTCTATGCAATATAACACAGTTATTATGCCATAAATCAGAAAAAATGTATGCTACAAATGTAAGCTCGATTTCTTTGATTATTTATTTTACAAAAAAAAAATCTGAATGAACAAATACAGCAAGTGTCCACAGGTGTCACCAATCCTGGAAAAAAAAGGGTAACTCTGCATTCTACAGATAATTTACTGATTGCATTTTTGTTTCCATAGAGTGCAGCTTAGTCGAAGAAAATCACAGAATTCTTGTCATGTCACTGTTGATCACAGATGAGTCAATGATGTCGTCTTAGCTGTGCTGAGATGTGCAGAATTTTTTGGTTTTTACAGAATTTAGTTGGAGCAAATTGTTATTTTTCTTTCATTTTTTGAAAGTGATGTGCAGAATAAAGTAATTCTGATTAAATATGGCAATTTAAAACTTTTTTTCCCCACCTGACACATCACACATGATTAGTTCAAGGAGCACTGGGAAGTTAAAAAAAATCTCACAATTCTTTCTGTTTTTGCAGTTTTTGACTCTCATGAATGATGTATTTTAGGGATTGTTTTTTAAAGATAACATACCTTTCAAACCTGCTGGTGTTCTTTGGGGTTCAGAGGGTTAATGAGATTTTTTACATCAAGCATTTTATGTGAGTACGCCGAACACACAGAGTGACAGCTTTAGAGCAGACCAACCGTATTCATGGGAAAACACACAACAATGCAAAGAGCAGCGCAAAGATGTTCCTCATTTTACTGCATAGAAGTATAACATGATGCAAATATCACATTTCAGCAAGAGTGAACACCAAAACCAGTGGAAACATATTCTTCTTGCATCCTTTTTCTGTTCCTTCTACAATTTTTTTGTGCCTTTTTGTGTAGCTTACCAAAAGGGCAACCTGGCTTTGTTTTCCACATTATGAATTAGCCGTTTGTGACTTTTATTGATGCACATACCTTCACCGCATTGTAGAGAACATCCAGGATGAATTGATAATATGAACTTTTTTGACCTCCTGTATTGATTTCCTGAGGGATGAGGGCTCTGCTTGCTCTCTAATTGGCCTGCAAGGTCAAGTGTACCTCAAATTGATGACTGCGGTAACTGCGCCGTCTGCCTGCTCGCTCTGCAGCCTTTATTTACGCTTCGTGCTATTTTGGGCTCTTTTGAAACAGTGAATGTTCCCAAGATAAATGTTTACATCTGTGCAATCTTCAGTCTGAAAAGTCTGTGCTTGGATTGTAAACTCAGCTATTGTTTGCTTCTCCTGCGGCTCTGCGGGACTCTTGCCTCCTCATGTACACCTACAGTAATCTAATGGAGACAGATAAGCCCAGAGCAGCGTGGACAGTCGGCCTGAGAGCGGATCCCTGTGGAGCTGTGAGCTCAGCAGCCTCCGATTACACGGCCCGCTCCTTTATTTCCTCACATGGCTTAGACTCTGGCCACAGATAAGCCTGGGTGGAAGTTATGACACCTTGATTCCATATTGTAAGTCAATCTGTTGCCTTTGGTGAGGCTGTAATCTAACCAGACCAGGGCACGCGGGCTGCTAATGAAATGCTAATTCACCAGCGGCGACATCATCACCGTCCTGGGACTGTGAGGCGGATGCTGATAAGCAGATTAGAGCTCCATCACCCAGCTCTCGTATACATTATAGAAAGTCTCATTTCCGGCACGCCGTTCACTTTGACGGGCTGTTATTTATCCAGCCTTTGTGAGGTAATAGGTTTAACCACATTATTTAGGCAAGAGTGGCCTAAGATCATTTAGCTTTCAATTTACTGCAGGGCCAGTCAGTCTGCTGCCTTCTCCCACTGGACCTGGGCTGCATGTAGAAGAAATAATCAATCAAATGGAACATAAAAAAAAAAGAAAAATGTAAATGTGGGCTGTCAGGTGTTAAAACTTATAGGGTGTCCAGGTGATACATCTTTAATTACGCTTTCTGTTTATTTATACTTTTAAAAACCAAACGAAAAACAAAAAATGTTTCTGCTTTGATATCATATTTTATGAAAATAAAGCAGGAACTGTCTGTCAGTCAGAGAAAAACTGAAACCAGGAAGGTAGCTCCTCTCACAGCGGCTAATGCTACGCTAACGGCTAGCAGCCACAGATGAACCTGAAACAGAGTCTGGAAAACAGTCAGTAATAACTATTGTTGAGATCTGAACCTTAGTGGACGATAAAAGTGATAAGACTGTGAAATATTAAGAAAATAGAGACGAGCAGCAGGAGACAAACTGATTCATCTCATAAAGTCACTTTAAAGACATTTAGACTTTTTTTTCTTTTTTAACCATTTTCAAGATTTTTTGAGCCACTTTGGAAAAGTTTTTCATCATTTTGGAGAATTTTTAATCTATTTTGAAATATTTTGAGTTATTGTGGTCAGATTTGACCAATTTGACAATTCTTTAACCTTTTTTTTTAACATGTCTATATGGTGTTTTTTTTTTTTTTTAAATGCTAGAAGACATGTTATGTGTGTAATAAGCAGTAATTGTCATGGCTGATCATTGTCACCCTGAAACTACAGACTTCCAGGGTTTCATATGCAACAAACCTACAGAAGATCAGCTCACAGGGTATGAAGCCATGTTGAACACATATGGTGGGATTATTCTCATACCATAAATGCGTGGTGCAGTGTAGAGCAGTTTCTAAAGTGCTTGAGCAGAGTTGTAGGTCAGCTGGTGTGCTCCAGCTACAGGGAGCAGCAGAGAGGAACTTCTAGGGGTTTAATCAATGACCGAAGGGGGACTTAAAATATTTAAAGATTGCAAACACAAGAGCGCGAAACCATTTTGTTTCTGCTCACTCTTCCACTTCTTGAAAATCCTTGAAAATAAACACCAAGAACAGATGTGTGCTGCAATTCCTTTCTTCATGTGGATTCTTTCATATTTCTATAACCAGCACTTTACTTAATTATATTTACGTGCAAGGGAGCTCGGATTATTATTTTTTCTAGTGTGCAGGAGGCAACATTTCTCATCTCATCATAATTCACACACACACAAAAAAAAATCTGTCATTTGAATATTAGCAACAACATTTCACCTCTTCAGAATCCAATAAATGTTGTGTTTACTGTCACATGCTGACAGTAAAGTTCTTCAGTGAATTTTAAAAATGCAAATACTAGTGGGAGGAAGGAGAATTTTTTTCTGAGCGTCTCGACTCTTCATCTTGTAGTTGCACATGCTGGCCAGAAGATGGGGCCGTTGCATTGGTTGGGAGAGGAGCTGGAGCGGGGCAGGTGCAACGAAATCTGGGATGGGCAGCATGCAAACCCACATCATTCTGTTCAATTTCAAGGTGCATTATCACATCATATAACACCGCATGCTAAAAGAAAAAAAAAAACTAGACCAAAGCTACACTTCAGTGACACTTTGTCTTATTAAAGACAGACATTCCTGCCACAGATTCTTTCCGTGTTAATTATTAATGTCACATTATATGGGGGATGTTCTCGTCAAGCAAACCCACACACACACACAAGCACACACACTTACTTAAGGGTTATCTAAAGGTCTTTCACAGCCCATTTAGCAGGCTTGCCAAATGAGGCGCGCTGCCAGACAGACAGGGGCGTCCGAAAATGGAGCCTTTAGCTCGTATCTGCTCAACACTACTACTCATGCATAATAGATAGTGCTTGTAGTAGAGATTGCCCTTAATCCCAGACAAAGAAACAACATGAAACTCATTACAGCACAATGTCCTTGATTAGGGGCAATTTCTACCTTCCTTTTTCCAGGAATGGGACGGAGCAGGGAGGTGTGGTGGGGGAATAGAAAGGGAAGAGGGGGCGAGAAATGTAGAAAGGCAGAGGAAGCTGACCTAGAGGTCTTTTTCTGACCAAGGGAAAACTTGAGTAGTTTACTCTGACACCCATCCCTAGAGGAGAAGGAAAAGAGAGGAGAGATATGGAAGAGGACAGAGAAAGGGAGAGGTCAGGTTCTAGAGTTATAAATGACAGGAGGCATGAACAGGAAGATAGGAATGTCAAAATGATGGATTAGAACAGCGGCATCATCAAGAAAAAGAAGAACACAGAGACAAATCCCTTCACCGGGTTAAGTTCAGAATATTTCCAGAGCTGGCCTCACCTGGACTGCATCTCGGCCTGTGCTGCTTTCTGGGCTGGGAGGGCCTGAGTCCCATGCGGAGGGAGGCCGAGCTGGGCCGGGGCGCTGCTCTGCTGGCTCAGAGGAGGGTGAGCGCTCTGGGACTGGGCCGTGGGCGGGAGGGCCGGCTGGGAGTTCTGCCGCTGGGCCTGCTGCTGCTGCTGTTTGTAGCGGGACAAGCTGAAGAAGAGGCCGAGGATGGCTTTCAGATTGCCATTCCGAATCTCTGGAGATCAGACGGAAGGACAAGGGAAAGGAGAACGGCAGGTGAGATGAAGAAGGTTGCAGAGATGTTCTACACTTAACATTCGGCCCTTTCAGACATGCACTCCCTTCCTTTAATCTGGCGACATCTGAATGTGTCGGCTTTGTGTCTGAATGAGCTCTATGCTCACTTTTGCATAAAGTGGCGACAGCAAGCTTCCTAAATCTGACTTAGTAACACGTCTGCATCATTGTCAACACAGCACAAGTCTGAACTGCATGCTGCTTGGCACACACAAGTGACATAAAGTTCAAGTTGTGGAAGGTTTTTTCCACATTTCAGCACCAATATTCTTCCAAAACTATCCGAGAGCGATCAGTCTGCGTGGCAAAATCACAAAACGTCATTGTGATTTACTTTGCTGTACAATTTCACACCTATAACAAGCTCAAATTTGCATACAAACTTCACTGCGATGACGACAGAACAGCTCAGATTAATAAGACTCATAAACAGTAAATGTAATCAGGACTTTGACAAAGTTGTGAAGTTTAGTTTGTTGCTTCCAGCTGTTTGTAGGAGTCTCTCCTCCAAAGCAAGAGAGTTCATTTACTCACACGGAGAAACAGCAGCAACATCACTGATTACACATTATGTCTGACATGGAGACAGGATTGATCAGGATGTACTTTCTTCACTTCAGACAGGTGAGCTGTCACACATGGAGCTTAAACAAGTTGTTTAGAAGAACAAACAAATCCTAAACTCACTGTAGAGCTCCTTCAACTGCTGTCGATGTGATTGTGTTACCACAGTTGCAGCTAATTCAACAAAAACGTGCTGTCTACTGCTCTCAGATATATTCGACTGCTACGTCCTTGGACTGAAAAATGAAAACACTTGAATAACACTCTTTACTGTAGAGAGGAGTGACTCCATCACTGTTCACTGATCCAAACTTTGGTGACTATATTAGCATTAGTACCTGTACTATTGTTCTTAACTTCTCCTGCGAATAACATGATGTTAAAATGTAGGCCACCACATATCACATCTTTTTTTAAACACCATTAAGCACCATTGTGAGCTTTCTGGTTCATTATTTATCTGTTTTAATGTGTGCTGTCTGGAATTAATGTAGTGTTTCCTGACAACAGCGCTAGCCAATAAAAAAAAAAAAAAAAAGATTTAAGCCTCAGTTTTTATTTTTCACAACATGGATTTCGTTTAGTAACTCAACCTGACCTGAGCTAGTTTCACAGCAACCTCTCCCTCTTTTGTTCAGCTGAAAGAAGAAGTGCAGCTTACCTTCTGCAGACAGACCCTGGATGTTGACTCCTTTGGCTGCCAGGAAACTGAGGCAGGCATCTATGTTCTCAATCTAGAGAGAGAGAGACACACACACACACACACAGCTGTAAGACACTGCACATTTCCATTCACATTTGCATATTTGTGTCATGCGAGGAAGCACGCTGGTCTGTGTTTTGCACGCTTCTCCTGATAGGGCAATAACAAAGCTGGAAGTGAGCATCTGTTGTCTGGAGAGGAAAGTTGGCAGCGCTATACGTACTAACAAGATAGAAAAGGTGCTGGACATTAACATTGCCAAAAAAATATGTCGGATTAAAGATCATGCATCCTTTGACAACCACTTATTTGATACAGATGGACCAACAAATAAATGAGGTGTGATAGGAAACTAAATCTGTTCCTGTTTAGTGGATTCTCTTTAGCTGTAAACACGTATTTCATGCTGGTACTCATACTTCTGCCAATACTCTAAATGTGTTATTTAACATAAAATATGAAACCGAAATGTGAATATTCAACAAAACACACATGAGGGATCTTTGATTTTAGATTTTTTTTTGCTGTGATTACTGAAGATTTCAAAGAATAAAGATGAGTTCGCAGTTTTATGGCTTTCCATCAAATGTCATTTACATTTTTGAGATACTGGAGCTGGAAGTCAAACCATTTTTTTTTTGGTCAGATATAAAGAACCTACCAGGGTCGAACAAAAGCAGAAAAGCTTTACTGCTCATACTGTGCTGTGCAATCTCAGGAAGTAATTTTGGCCACATGGTAACACACCCAAAGCAGCATTCAAACCGAGCTCACTTTCGTCACTGGAGCTACGGGGAGGCCGACCATCTATAGCGACTCTCAGTTGCTATGACAGCAGCCCTGGCAACCTGAGCAGACTGCTGAGCTGTCACTGGCCTGCGAGAGGATTTGATAGGCAGACAGGCTTTGTTTGGAGACCATGTGACCTATTATACACAGAAATCTGCCGGCTGGCGCACGTAGTCATAAAGCAAACCACATAAAACAAGTCATCAAGCGGAGTCACGTCAGATGGGTGATTGTGTGATAAAAGTGCTGTTGTCGACGAGCAAACACGCGAGCCGAGGCACAAACGATATCAATATGCCACGGTGCAGCTCTCCTGCGGTACATACAGAGGTGGACTGTAGAAGTGGTCCTTTCAGCAGAGCAATTAACTGAAGAATTGTGTGTAAAATGGACATTATGCACCATGCACAAAGGTTAAAGAGGTGTTAAATCTTCTTAGAATGACATCCATTACACGGGAGAGCAGATTTATAACACACTGAGACCAATTTACTTACAACAAACCCCCCCTTTTTTTTTTTTGAAAGTGCAGCAGCTCAAGTATAATCTGAGGAAGCACAGATATGGAGCAGCGACACTCCGAGTGGATTCAAAATGCATACGAAGCGCGTCTTTATAAACGAGGCTGCGAGCAGGAGGGTCCTGTTCGCTGAAGATTAATGACATGATTACACTTAATATGCACTGACTAAATATAGCTTGACCTACAACTCCCACCGTGCTTCTCCTGTCGGGAAGTTTCCGGCTGTGAGGTGAGGAGCTGAAGTAAAAACTCATTTACATCTACTTCTATTAAAATATGTCGACATCTACTAACTGCAGACACTGGAGGCAAATTTAATGCGCTATTAAAACTCCAAATCAACGAAGGCAAAGCAACCTCCTCTACTGATATTACATCCGCTGCTACTACTCCTGTGTCTGTGAGCTATTGGATTGAACCACTGCTACATTTATAGTAGCTCAACCCATGACGCATTTAGTAATATCCACTTTCATATTACTTACACCTACCACTTTACTACTATTTACACTCCCTAACGCACTAGTACGAGTTGCATCTGCTTTATTTAGTTATATCTGTAGTTGAACGAATATTAGTTGGATCCCTTATGCTACTATCATCACCATATTTTTTAACCTGAGGAGCTCCAGGCTATTTTTAGAGTAATTTTACGACTTTTATGTTTTATCTCGGTCTTTATTAAGACACATTTGGAATGTCTCGTTTCTTTATTCAGAACAGTCTTGGCTTTTCTGGCTTCTCTTCCATCATTTGATATGGTAATTCATGCAAATGTGAAAATTAACCTCTATACCAAGGAAGAAAGTACTTTGCATTATGAAAATGATATGTTTGTACATGCATCTCATTATACAATAGCAGTATAGAGATATGTTTATGTAAATCTATAGTAGAGTTTGTCTCTTAGCAGAACTATGACGGCGGGAGACTGTGCGACTTACCAACTGTACTTCGTGCCGAATGCAAATAAATGTAATGATTTTTGAAGTGTTCGCACGCAGTAGCCTACTTACAGTGGTGGCAAACAAAGTTTCATGTTTACCTTTCCTCCCTTCTGAGTCATTGCAATGCGAAGCAAATCAATCACTTTGTGTTTATTTTTCATACACAGTTGGACGTATTGTCAGCTCTGTGTTGGGAGACACTGCAGAAACTTGCTATAAGTTCAAAGCCGAATTACACTTTGACATGCAGAGAACCATCTAGTTTCATTTCAACACGCAGAAGTCCTACGTCATGAAATGATCTTCACTCGAGGAGCAGAAGTGAAGCGAAATTCGTAAAAATATTACTTACAACAACAAGTTTTATAAATCTTTGTGTCACTACTTCAGTATGTACAAACACATAACAAGCTTAATAACAAAGATCAGATTTTGTTCTTTCTTATGATATTATACTCATGTATACTTGCAGTAACAATAGCATATTTAGATACATCTATGCAGTGACTCGATTGAATGGTGTGAGTTGGACACACAGCTGCATGCTGGTTGCAACTATGATTACATTTCATGTAAAATCTAAATGTTTTTTTTCTCACTTGCACTTTGTTCAACTGACAACCAACTAGCATCGATGGAAACTTAAAGCTGTGCAGCTGTATTCAGTCTGTACCTTAACTTGATGCAATAAACTCTTTGAGTGCAACTCAACAGAGAAGAAGGGATGTGAATTGGGACGCAGGCGCTAAGGCTTAATCAGTTAAAATGTGACCAGATTGCGATCAGTCTCAGCTACCATATGACTATTAGAAGCACCCACTGCCATGATATAATTACTGAGATAATGACACAATAATTAATGACATATATGCATATAATTACAGCTACAGTACTGTTGGTTACATTCACGACTTTACTGCCACTACTTTCTTCCATTGCCAGAATATAGATTTTTACATCATTAACCACTTAAATACCGCCCACATACCACCATGGCCAGATTATAAACTGCTAAATCCAACATCAGATCACCGATAACTGTGTTACTACCTGACAACAACTACCAGCAACCACTAACTCCGCCCCGTATTAGAATGTTTGCAATTTAACGTTCTGCACTAAATCTTCCCCTAGTTTAAATTCCACACCTATCCGAGTCGCGTTAGCGTCCGAGGAGGACAACTGACTTCAGGTCACTGATTGAGCTGAAACTGCAGCGCTGCCCCTGCTGTCATTTCCGTGACCTCTGCCCCGAGAAACAGCTGTTAGCGACCCCGACATATGTTGTCCTTCGAGGTGATACAGCAGAAAACTTCACAACAGTAGGAATGCAGACTATGTCCCTCTCCGAATGCTCCACAAGCCCCCTAAAAATAAACCTCTCGGAAACACCCCTCTAACCCCAGAGTCTTTCTTTAATACGTCGGGCCCCAAACTTCACTTAAGCGACTGAACCGCTCTCCTGCTGCCCCAAATTCCCTGTAATAGCCGGAGCTTAAATAGCAGCAGCCTTCAGAAAACATGCTTGAGTGAGATACCCCATCATAAATGCCAGGCCTGTCCTGCTGAGATGCGCCCCAGCCACGCCTCTCAGGGGGTAAAAATACTGAAACCTCTTGCTATTTAAAAGCTGCGGGGACAAGAGCTCAGAAAAGGAGCATCATTCTGTGATCATCTGAGATTCTACCGAGTTGGGTTTAATTGTATTAGAAACAGAATTTCCTGGGGAAAAAAACATCCTTAAGTGTTCTTTAATTGTTGTAATTCACTGATGTGTCAATGAGGTTCAGTGTTTTCCACAAGTTAACTAAAACATAGGATGTTCTTAAAGCCTCTGCTCATGTAGTTACAACATCCCTCCTCTTTTAAAGGAAACCTTCATTAGCTGCAGGCTCACTGAGACGCCTTTATATCAGATCACGCTGCTCATCATATGTTTGCACAGTCATAAGCCGGAAAAACTCAACTGTAGCAACAACTGGGCAGAGAAAGCCAACACTAAGACTTTAAGGAATTCAAAGTTAGCACTCATTAATTTCAATCATTAGTCAGTTTTCTTGACATCTGCCAAGACAAGACAGACGGAAAAGCAAACCTGTACACACACACACACACACACACACACACTCACGGCCACAAGAGTAAACTACTGTCCACCACATTAACAGGAGATCACCAGAACAAAATACCTCTAAACCAGAGAGAAGTGTCCACAGGCAACAGATCCCTCCAGCTCTGGGTAGAAGCTCCTACCTGCCTGAGATCAGCTCCTGCAGTGTGACTGCTCTGCCTGTCTGGCTTCACACCTCAGTCCATCCAGGCCACTGTCACCTCCTGCTCTGCAGCAGCAGCAGCAGCAGCAGCAGCAGCAGCAGCTCAGGGCCGGTCAGCCAACAGCCCTCTGAACAAACACTTCCTCCCATCACAGGGCTGCTGCTGTGTGTGTGTGTGTGTGTGTGTGTGTGTGTGTGTGTGAGGCAGAGGGAGGGAGGGAGGGAGCTAGAGCGAGGGAGGGAGCAGGAGCATGAGCAGGAGCTCTACATGTCTGAAGCAGGATTTCACTGATAGGAGCTTCTGAAGGCTGATATTTTTAGTGTTTTAAACTGAGCCTTATTCTATGAAACAGAACGAAGGGATGTAAAGCTTCATCTCACTCCAGACTGACTGCAGGTCTGTGAAGCCCCCCAAGACGAGACCTGCAACACCGGGCTGCAAAAAGAAACCTGATTCATGTGAAACTTTTAGGTTTTATTAAGCTTAACCTCCATCCAC